TGATTAGATTGACTAATTCATTAGAGCTTAAGTTCATTGGACAGCTTGTCGGTCCTGCCGGTCAAGAGTTGATCGATGGACTTGAGTTAACAACATAAATTAAAGAATACTCGTAGCGAGAAGCAAGAAGAAGATGAGCGACGCGGACGACAAGAAAGTCAAGTTCGAGGCTCCGCAAGAGGAGAAGGAAGGAAAGAAGTACACCACTCCAAGGAAGCCCCGACACAAGAAGAAGTATCATCAGAACAGCTACCAAAAGAGCAATAAGAATATCGTGCAACCGTATACAAGCAAGACCGAGGAAATAAAGGATGATACATTCACTATTGGTAGCAACATGGGAAAGAAATGGATGACGAGCCGCGAAGCATTCATCAACTATGCAGGGAGAACATACGGAGGAAGTGTGAAAACATCCCTGCACCGACTAAAGATGACGATACTACATGTCAAGAGACCTGAAGAATATACTGGCGATGAATACAAGGTCCTTCCACAAAGATTACAGGACATATGGAAGATGGAATATAAAAGATACTCAGACATGGAAGTAAAGGTACAAGACCAGCTGATCAAAGCATATGACATACTATGGGACCAATGCGAACCAGCACTGAAGAACAAGATCAAATCACAACCAAACTACAGTGAAACGATGGAGACCTCAGACGTGATCCAACTACTACAAATGATAGATCATATCTGTAGCTCCAACGATGCAACAAAGTACTACGAACTACAGAGCTTCTACGCACTGAGGAGACTCATCAACTTCAAACAAAGGGATGATGTCGATGTTGCGGACTACTACAAGGAGTTTGAAATGCTATTACGTGTGGCTGAGCAGAATGGAGTGAATTTTGCTACTGAAGAAAGATGCAATCATGTGGCCGCAACACTATATCAAGGAAGAAAATATGCCGAGCTGGACCAACACCTACAGCCCGACATCAAGAAGAAAGCAAGAGACAGGTTCATTGCTATCGTGTTCATGATGAATTCCCACAGGACCAAGTATGGGAAATATAAGGAAGAATGCAGCAATAACTTTGCACAAAAACAGGACCAGTATCCCAAGAGTCTTACGGATGCGTTGACCGTACTCGAACAGTATCGATACAACCCACAAGTATACAGTAAGCACACCGGCGACAACAACAACCAACAACAGAATGTGATCGCGACCAGTGCACATAGTTTTTTCCAACAGGAAGACGATAAACAACCAACCAAGCCAGGCATTACCGCCGATGATAAACCACAAGGCGAACCGGATGAGGACCATAGCAATGATAATGCCAGTACTAACTCATCAGTTACATGCTACAACTGCGATAGAAAGGGACATATTTCACCCAACTGTACATACACCACAAAAGAGAATGGGGAGCCCACCGTTAAAGAGACACGCCGAATGAGGGAAAAGGACAAGGGAATAGTGACTAAACAAATAAGAGACGTAGCAAAAGGAACAACAATGGTCATTACAGATGAGATGATTGAGGAATGGAGCGATACACTTACAGTCGATGACTATGGCTACCAATTCAACATCAATGCATACAGTTCCCCAGCAAGGACCCCACTGAAAGAAATAATCACGGAAGACTTAACGTCGAACACTGAGACCGTTTATAATAAGATTGAAGGAAGACTGAACCCATTCTGGATACTATTGGATAATCAATCGACAGTACACGTCTTCTTCAACACCCTGTTCCTCCGTAACATACGGCAAGTGAATAAAGAACTGCACCTGTACACGAATTCTGGGAAGTCTGTCATTGATGAAATGGGAGAGTTACCAGGATTTGGAACAGTATGGGTTCACAGGAGTGGAATTGCGAATGTGCTGTCTTTCCATGGTGTAAAGAGCAAGCAGAACTATCACATCACGTACAATAGTCGGATCAAAGATGCATTCAACGTGGAAAAGCCAGATGGCTCCACACGAGAGTTCATACCATCAGAGAAAGGACTGTACTATTCTGACTTCTCCCCTATGTTCATATCGCCCGCCAGTCATAAGAAGACTGGAACAACACTACAGATCGAAACTGTAAAGAACAATGTCACAAAGTTCTCGAAACAAGATGTGCTACGAGCAAAAATAGCCCGAGAGTTTCAACACACTGCAGGACACCTCAGTGAACACCAATTACTCCGGATTGTCCGAAACAACCAATTAAAGAATTGCCCTATCACACCACGTGATGTCCGTCTGATGCAAGCAATATTTGGGCCAAGTATCCCCGGATTAAAAGGAAAAATGACACGGAGCAAGCAAGCAAGCGTAACTCCTGAAACCATACCAGTGCCGGCACACGTCAAAGAACATTATCAAGACCTGACCCTGGGAATGGACATAATGCACATCAACAAAATTCCTTTCCTGACAACCACATCAAGACATCTTCACTATCACGCGGTCACCGCTCTGCCCAACATGCAGACGAAACACATCATTGATGCAATCACGGCATTACATCAGTTCTATCGACTCAGGAACTACCGAATAACTCACATCCTAGCAGACGGACAGTTTCACCAATGCCAACACCCAGTTGCAGCGTTACATATAAACCTCAACTGTGTTGCCCGAGAGGAACATGTCCCCGAGATCAAACGACTCCACCGGACCATCAAAGAACGCTGCAGATGTAACATCCACATGGTCCCATTCAAGAAGCTTCCCAAACGACTAATCGTGGGACTCGTAAGGAATGTCATCTTCTATCTCAATGCATTTCCCCATCCAGATGGTCTTTCTAATGAGCTATCCCCCTACACACTCGTAACAGGGAAAACTGTTGATTTCAACTTACACTGCTCAATAGCGTTTGGCACATATGCCCAAACCCGGGAACCAACTGACAACACTATGCGAGCGCGATCAGTTGGAGCTATAGCCATGGGACCAAGCATGAATTACCAAGGAGGCATACTATTTTTTAGCCTAAACACTGGACGCGAACTTGATCGCAGCAAAACAGACTACACCATACTCCCTATGCCCACTGATGCAATCCAACGAGTTGAGCACATGGCACGAGATGCGCCAGACGGCATTGTATTTACTGACCGTAACAATGCCCCATTCCCGGATGAAGACATGGACTATGCCCACGCTCCAGTCCACGATTCATCCACGGTACTGGACCACGCTGAACTACAACAGGCTAATTTGCCTACCCTACAGCACGCTACACAAATTACAGGAGTGAACACTAACAACACTAACACTAACACAACAACCAACATGATCAATGACAATGAGACCAACACCAACACCAACAACGACACACATACAGACGAACATGATACCGAGGTCACTGCTGATGACACAGTGGACGTTGACAACGACAACGACGATGACGAGACAACAGAAATCACGCCGGACATACACCAATCCCACCAACCAGATAACAATGAAGTCACAGGAGTGGAGGATCCGGATGATGAAATGAATGAACCTACTGAGGTAGAAGAGGCAATCGAGGAAAATGAACAACCACGCCGATCGACACGAATCCGGAACGCTATAAATAGACCCATGGAGGGACAATTTGAATATCAATGCCTTCACAACGCAACGCTAACAACAGACAAGACTGACACGATACAGCTACTCGACACAGCTAATGAACAAACAAACTACATGGAAACGCTAAATTACATTGCACAGATGGAACAGAAAGATAACTACATTAATGACATGATAATGATGCAATACAGCCTCAAGGCTGGACTAAAGAAATTCGGTGAAGACGGTCGGAGAGCAACAATGAAAGAGCTACGACAAATGCTAACAAGGGAAGTCTTCAGTGAAATAGACTATAAAAGTATATCATACAGCAAGAGGAAAAAGGCGCTACCAATACTACTCTTCCTCACGCTAAAAAGGGACGGAATCACCGTGAAAGGGCGAGCCGGCGCTGATGGGAGACCCCAGAAACTATGGACCCCAAAACATGAATCAGCCTCACCAACAATAGCAATAGAAGCACTATTCTTCACACTAATCATGGATGCTAAAGAAGGAAGAGACGTGGCAACATGTGATCTCCCAGGACACTTCCTACAAACGGACATGGAGGGAGAGATCCTCCTGAGATTAGATGGACCACTGGCTCTCCTACTAGCAAAGATTGACCCAAAACGATGGCGGAAGCATATCAACACTGAGCGGGGACGACCAACTATATATGTAAGATGCGATAAAGCTATCTATGGAACAGTTACGGCAGCGTTACTATCATACAAGAAATTGATTGGTCACCTAACCGACTGGGGATTTGAAATGAACCCATATGAGCCATGCTGCTGGAACAAGATCGTAGGAGGAAAACAATGCACTGTGGTATTCCACGTAGATGATATGAAACTAAGTCACGAGGACCCAGCAGTAGTAACCAACTTAATAAAGCACTTGGAGTCAATATATGCGAAAACTGATCCCATGACAGTGGTCAGAGGAAAGATCCACCACTATCTGGGAATGACCATTAACTTTGATGAACCAGGGGAAGTGAAGATCACCATGTATGACTACATAAAGAGGATGATAGATGAATTACCGAATGATATGAGAGGAGCACGGACTACAGCCGCACCCCTACACCTGTTCAACACCGACTATACAGGGGTGGATAAACTGGATCGAACAAAGAAAGAACTGTTTCACTCACTAACAGCACAGATACTGTGGTTGGGGAAGCGAGGAAGACCAGACCTGCAGCTAGCAACAGCATTCCTCTGCACACGGGTCAACGAACCGGACATAAATGATTACAAGAAACTAAAACACCAGCTTATGTACTTGCAGCACACAGCTCACCTCCCACTCATCATGAAAGCCAACGGTGAAGGAACATCCCTATATATAGATGGGGCACACGCAGTACACGCCGATATGAAAGGACACGGAGGAGCATACGCAACAATGGGGAGAGGGGCAGTATACGCCTCATCCACCAAGAGCAAAATCAATACAATCAGCTCAACCGAAACTGAACTAATATCAGTAGGAGAAAAGTTACCAAAGCATCTTTGGTTCAGACAGTTTGCCGTGGAGCAGACAGGAGATGACAATCAAGTACACACGTTATACCAGGACAATAAGAGTGCAATATTGCTACAGAACAATGGAAGGTTATCGTGTAGGAAAGGATCCAAACACATACACATACGATACTTCTTCATAACAGATCGTATTCAAAATAAAGAAGTGGAAGTGAAGTACTGTCCAACAGACGACATGATTGCTGACTATTTCACCAAACCGCTGCAAGGGAAGACATTCCTGCGATTTCGGGACATGATACTTGGAATCAACAAGGAGGATTTTGGTACATATAAAAGACAGTACCTCGAAGCGTTGGAGGAGTTCGGTCTAACCAAGGACCACAACGTGACAATGGCAAGCCCGCAGGAGTGTGTTGACAATAATGTCGCGCAGGTTGTAGGATAGGGTTATGGTTTACTGTATACCTGATACTACAATGTACTGGACATGGAAAACCGACAAATCACAAAACATCCCATATTCTTTAATTTATTAGGAGTGATTAGATTGACTAATTCATTAGAGCTTAAGTTCATTGGACAGCTTGTCGGTCCTGCCGGTCAAGAGTTGATCGATGGACTTGAGTTAACAACAGGACCTGTGTGGTGCTAGCACTTGCTTTATTCCTTGAAAAGTGGTGCAAAGATGGTGAAGGAGCAGCAGGCCAGTGGCTGTTCACTGAAGGAGTAACAGACAGGGGATCTCACCCAAAGGACGTTGAGAAAGAGATTACCAAAGGAAAGGCTGCTTATGCTCGGTTCATCAAGCGCTATGTGTTTGATAATGAAGCCTTTGTTCGTGAAAGACCGGATGGGAAGCTGGGAACTCATTCCTTTAGGAAGTTTTCCGCCACCTATGCAAGACAGTCTGGAGGATGCAAGGACAATGTTGATTATAGAGCTCRATGGAAGTCTAAACGCCAGCAAGATAGGTACACTGACACTCAGCTTGCCTGGCCTGATATCGACATTGCATCGAAGCTTTCCTTTGGAGGAATCTGTCTGTACAAGCCTGAAAGGACTGGAATCACTGACAAGTGGCTTGCTTCTTCAGTTGCTCCTAATATTGCCAATGTGTTTGGTAACCAAGTCGCGGCTATCCTTGGCAAAGCGTTGCTTTGGGCTTGCTGTGATCCGGCAATGCAAGCGTCGGGCTTGGTGCCAGAGGATGTAAAGAGGGACGTTGTTGCTTCTTGGATTCAATTGAATTACAGTTTGCCAGTTGCTGACAGGTTGGATTGTGACATGAATCCTATCAAGCGTGTTGAGCTGGTTGCTAATGAATTCAGTGGGCAAGTTCACTTTGATGAGCTTGCAGATCCGGATGATCAGGGTGGAGGGGGAGCCCCTGGGGGAGCTGCTGGCGGCGCTCTTGGGATTCGACGGACTCAGCTGCAGTGGAATCATGCAATGTTCTCAAAGCTGTTTGCCACAGCTAATGAAGTGAATGAGATCAAGAACAGACAGATTGCAAGTGAAGCAAAGTTCAATCAGAAGCTGAATAGAGCCATCGAGTTGTCCCAAAGAGCTGCCATGAGCCCTATAGCAAGAAGACGTGGTCGCGTCCGAGCTGTAAACAGTGGTGCGTCGGAAGCTGCTGCAGGTGTCGACGGAGTAGCTGAGCTGACTAAGTGTCCTCATGATCTTTATGTCCTGTGGAATGAATGGGAAGTTGGCGTTGGTCTTAATAAGCCTGCGAAGGAGTTCACCGCTGCTAAGAGAGGTCGTGTAAAGAGCAAGTACTGCAGGCGTTTGAAGTTCTGGAGATGCATGGAAAGACTCATCAGGGCTGGTTGCTCTTCTGAAGTGGCTGTTAGAAGAATTTATGCAGTGTATGGTGGTCCAACCAAGAGGGTCTCTTACATCCTCAAAGCTATGCGTCCCCATGAAGCCAATGGGGGTCACCACATGCTTCGCGGACCGGCTGTTGGTGCTGCTTCTTAATCGTCGACGTCGACGTCGATCCTTGTTCTTTGTTGCGTGTTCCTTACTACTTGTCCCCCCCTTATATTGAAAAAAGCATAAAAATATAGTGTACTGTGTATATGTGAACGGCTGTATTTTGCTGTATTTTGCTATCCTCAACAAGAGGACCATCTTAGTAGCTGACAGGAAAAGCGTCGGTGTTGTTGTTGTTATCGACGTGATTGTTGAGAATTACTCTCCCGACTTGGTTTTTTTCTATACAATTTGCCTTGTGCGTGATCGTGTGAGTACCTCTCATCAAACACACTGATACTCTTGCGCTCCGCGCATGCTTCGTGCACCTTGTATATCTACGTAGAATATGTACTGTGTCCTACATGGTTGCATTTATAGTTGATATATTGTTTGGTACTTGCCTGGTACGTGCTCCGAAAATAATTCGAGAACCGGTGAAAGCTGCCTTGGCGTTTGCCATGCCCTAACGTGACTAAAAAAAAAATTAAACGGTTCTATAATTTTGAACGACTCATTCGACTCGATTAAGTTCCCATACTGATCTGTTGTTTCTTTCTTCTGTATGTACTATTGTACGTAGGTAGTAAAGTGGTTCCCAGTAGTACAAGCAAGTAATATTACACGTGTTAATTTCTTTATAGGGATTTCTCGGATGACTGATTTATTCGTACCAGGTACCGGTAAAATCACGAAGAATAAATTCAGAGAAAAATCTTGATCGAAGTCAACCGATATCTTTGCCCGAACCCAGAGTAGATCTGTCGGAATATTATACCCAAGCTGTGTCCTTGTCCTTGTAGAGCCAACCACAAGAGTACAACCACAAGATTTAGGGATCCTTCACGAGGAGAAGAATCGGGAGGACTTCAAACCCGGAGTGCTTTGTCAAAGATACAACAGACTTCACAATGATCGCTCAACTGTTCCGTTCTCCCGTTTCTAGCCTCTCGTCAAGGGCACGGTTGTGGAGCCCTAGCCTTGCGCTGCTGCTCGGTGTTTGGATGGCATCGATGCAGTTTTCACCGGGATGGATSGGTGCGGGGATCGGCGGCCCGTGTTCGATGGACGGGGCTGGGCTCGGGGTTCTGGCCTTCCGGCCAAGCCCGCAGCAGACCACGTGGGGATTGCGTGTCCGCCGGCCATCCGGCCCGTGCCGGGCCACCGCGGGCCGTTTCCCGGGCGRATTCCCCGTGCTCGCACCGGCACCGGGTGACCGCTTGCGTCCCGGGTGGCAAARCSCGGGCAGCGGCCGGGTCCGACATCCAGGGACGGCGGACGCGTMTGGGCACTGCCGCCGCCGGGGCCTGTTCSATCCGCTGTTTGGGGGCCGTTCGAGCGAGGAGGAGGACGGTGGCAGCGGTGCCGACACMCRCGGTTCGGACGATGCAAGGAACAGACGAAAACGATCGTTTTCGATGAAACGCATCGGCGGGAGACAAAGACGAGGACGRCGGYTTCCGGAAGAAGCGTCCAAGCCATTGCCGCCAACGACAACCGACTCAGGGGACAAGCGGCGCTTCCCGGGCGGGTTTCTGATATCCGCACTCCTGGCCCTCACCCTGCTAAAGAACCTGTTGCTCGGCTCCGGCGGWGGCGACGCTGGATACTACTATTATTCGTATTCGAGCAGCAGCAGCAGTGTCTACGAAACAACCATCGATCCGGACGGCAGTCGAAGGACGACCGAAACCTCCAGGAGGGTCACGTCGGACCTGAAATCGAACATTCCCGGGCTGACGAAAGATTCGATCCCCGGGGCCAACCAAAACCTTGGCATCGTGATCTACGACGATGGATTTTAGAGCCACGGACGATGTGTTGCGTTTCGCCGGCCTGGCATGGACCGAGGCGAGAGAAGCCGTTGCTTCCATCGATTGCCGGTTTCGAAATCCATCCAGCTCTCAATAATGAATGCACARAGTCGGCATGATGGAYTATCGCTTTGGAACAATGCATTGTAMAAGAACGCCCAAGAAACCGCAAGRGGACAAAGAAGCGAGACGAGTCCCGTACGATGACCAACGAAGGTGCCCGGCGGAAGCCTTTACGGACCTGCCAACCAAGGCAATGGAACGAAAGCGTGCGGTACGTACGCGTCGCACCAAAAACACGAGATGGGCATCTCGTCGGCGTTCCCMTGGTATCACAAACAATCGCGAATCCAGCCAGCTCCGCCCTGCCCTGCMCTGTCCTGCCTCGCATTCGGATCGTTCCCCGATCCAAGCGACCAACGCAAAAATAAAGCAACATAAAATACAATTTACTGTAGTCATTAACTAGTGAGATCAAACTTCCCGTGCGGACGCTCCGAACCAGCCTGCTGGCTGCGGAACGCTGCCTGCTGTCCAAAGGATGCGATGGATGGCCAACCGGTCAGCCCGCCATCCCCGGCAGCAAACCAGACGCGAGCCGCATCGCATGCGAGTGTTTTGCGTYGTTTTGCCTCGCCTCGAACCTACCCGGCAGCGCAGGGTACGCCYCTGCCCCCCGCCCGCCCCTAGGGCTTCTTCGCCGGCCCGGCCAGGTGCCGGACCATGTACCGCATGGCGACGTTCCCGTCCGGGTGTTCCCGCGCGACGTGCATCCCCAGAACGAGCGCGAGCGCCCCGAGGCGCTCGTCCCGGGCCTCCTCCGTCTCGGCCTCGCCCGCGGCCGAGGAAGGGGCCCCCGCAAAGTCCCCCGGCTGGATCCCCAGAAAGGCCTCGTTGACGTGGTACCGGCGGAGGAGCCGGTGGATCCGGACCAGGGCCTTTTTCTGGACCGGGTCCTCGACGCCCCCGATCCTCCCAAAGACGATCGAGGACGGGGCGACGTCGGTGCAGCCGGCCTGCTCCAGCAGGGCGCAGGTCTTTTGGACCAGGGCTTCCTCGTCGGTCCCGGGGGCCGCCGGCCGGGACTCCGAGTGCCAGACCTCCTCGGAGGTCCGCTTGACGTCGAAGAAGCCCCCCCTCCGGAGGACGTCGATGAGGCGCTGGGGGACGACGACCGGGACCCGGCCGGGGAGGCGGTCCTTGACCCAGTCCATCTCGTGGGCCAGGCAGGGGTAGCCCTGCTCGCCGTACTCGCTCTGGAATCGGGTGGCCAGGGCCTTGGCGGAGATCCCGACGGGATCGCACCGGGACGAGGCCATGACCTGGGATTCCAGGCAGGACAGGTCGGTGTTGGTGCGGACGTCTCCCCCATCGCTGTCGTCGTCGTCGTCGTTTTCGTCCGAGTCGTCGCTCTCGGAATCGTCGCTGCCGTCGTCGTCGTCCAGAAATGGGTCCTTCCCGCTGATGAGCCTCGACAGGAGGCGGCCGCCGATGTTCCTGGAGATGAGCCTGGCGTCCGTCAGTATCTCCGTCCATAGCGTCGCGTAGGCGATCATGAGCTTGTCGTAGTCCACGATCCGTCCGTGCCAGTAGGGAACGGAGTGCAGATCCATCCCGAAGAGCGCCGTGCAGTTCATGGCGCCGCCGATGCGGGGGTCCTTCCCCCAGGTGGTAACGTATCGGCCGTGGATGTAGATCTTTCCGGCCTCGGTCGGGTCCAGCAGGAGGCGGTGCCCCGACGGCGAGGCGGCCACGATGTCGGTGCGCGGGGAGGTCGGCTTGGTCGACCGCAGGCTCAGAAAGGCCTTTTGGATCTGGGAGGGGTAGTAGTTGGGAGCCGGGAGATCGGTGGCGTCCAGGAGGTGGGTCTTGCGGAGGTCGCCCTCRAGGGAGAGGCACATCTTGGTGACGGCAAAGGAGGGGTTGTTGCTTCCCGGGCTCTTGGSGGCTCCGGACTTCTTTTCCTCCCCGCCGGTGTCGTCCCGCAGCTGGGCCGCTGGGCAGGCCGCCCCCTTTTCCGGGCTTCCGGCGCCTGCCCCTGCTTCCGCGGAAGGGGTGCCCGCCGGCTCGTGGTCCCCGACCGTGACGCAGAGGGTCTTGACGAAGGGATCGTGGGGGATCGGAACGCCCCCGCCGCCCCGGCCCAGGAGGCCCCGGCGGCGGCCCTCCGGCGCGGGGGCCACCGTCCCAAAGGCCGTGTTCCGCGAGGGAAGCACCGGGACGGTCCCGTCGCTTAGCGTCGCGTCCATCAGGTCYAGCCGGTACTTCTTGCCGCGGATCCCGAAGATCTCCAGGACGTACTTGGCGTGGTCGTCGTAGAGGCAGGCGAGGGCCCCGTACTTGACGTCGTCGTCCACCAGGCTCCCGCCGAAGGAGAGCATGCTGAGTTCCTCGGCCTTCTTGGCAACCGCGTTTCCCGTCGCCGGCAGGGAGCGGTACTCGATGGTAGCCCTGTAGAGGACCACGTGCTTCGGGGGGGGCGGGGCGTCGTCCTCGGTGTTGTTGTTGTTGTTGTTGTTGTTGTTGTTGTTATCGCTGCTGTTTTCTTCCCCGCTGATCTCGTCGGCGGATCGTTTCTTGCTGCCGGCCTTCTTGTTCTTGTTCTTGTTCTTCTTGCCCGCCGCGAGAACGTCTTCCTCGCTCTCGTAGCTGGCGACCTCGAGCTCTTCAGTGGTCATTTCTCCCGTGGAAGCATAGAGCAGCGTGATCTTGGCCAGGGCCCTCGGGGCGTCCGTCCAGTCGCTGTTCTCTCGTTCCGCCTCGTTGTTTGCGGTTGCGGTTGCGGTTGCGGTTGCGGTTGCGTCGTCGCCGTCGTTGCCGTTCTGGTTGGCAAGGTACACCACCGCCGTCCGCTCGTAGCAGCGTTCGAACCCGTGGTTCGCCCTGAGCAGCGAGGGAATCGCGTCCCCCCCGTCGAGCTCGCGGGCCTCTATCTCCTTCGGCGTCCAGGCGAGGGGAGAGGTGCAGAGGTCCACGGGGGAGTAGTTCTGCCCAAAGGCCGCCCTGGCGTACGAGAGAGAGGACCACAGCGTGTGCTGGAGGACCGTCTTGAGGCCGTCCAGGACGCCGTCCTCGAGCGGGATCGCCGTGTGGGCCATCGAGCTCAGCGACAGCGGAACTGCCTCGGTGAACCGGGTGGCCACGGAGGCATCGGCGGTCATGGTGTGTGTGCTGGGCTGGGATGTGCTGGGATGTGCTGGGATGTGCTGGAATGTGCTGGAATGTGCTGGGCTGGGATGTGCTGGGCTAGGATGTGCTGGGCTGGGGGATGTGCTGCGTCTTCGTTTCCTTTTTCGTGTCCGTTTGCGTTTGCGTTTGCGTTGCGTTTGCCTTCGAGTCTCTTTGGTTGCCCTGCGGTGCGGTAATCCCGTCGCGGTCGCTGCTCTGGAGGACAGATGCAAATCGCGGGGACTGGGAAAAATAATGTTGATCTTAGAGCCTGTCCGTTAAAAGATTGCTGCGTCTCTCCATACCGGTAACTCGTACGAGTACTTGTACCTACCGGTAGGGTCAACCTGTACGATTTTATTTAATGCAGGTGGTACGGGAACAGAGCATGTAGACGCACGCACCCTGCTGCGATGCGATGCGACACCGGTGCATACGAGTATCTGCCTACCGAAGAGAATGAAATGAATACAGTAGGTCGTACGGTACAGTACCGGCCGGTAGGACGTTCGGTATCGACGATTTTAAAATGTACCTTCACTACTAGACCCGTTACTGGAATGGAATTAGTAAACGCCACTTAAGACACTACTAAGACCCATTTGAACAGTCCCACAAACTAAGTATGAAATTCGATACTCAAAGGGGGGGCTGGGAGAATTCGAAAAATTATCTGGTAGCGTAGCTTATATTATGGTAGCATTTCTGCTGGTGGTAGCAATTTGGTAGTAGCGTTTCTGGTCGCAATCTGGTGGTGGTAGCAATTATACTAGTAGCTACCTTCTGGTAGTGATTCTGGTAGCTGGTAACGGTTACAGTAGTAAAGTATGAAAACACGGTAACGTTTCTGGTAACTGATGTTTTTAGTATAAGTAGTACTCACGTTACGGGGATGAAATTTCTTTAAGTCCTGTCATGGGACTGGTGTTTAAACTCCTGCTGCTTGTTGCTGGACTGTTTTTTGCTGCTGGGACTGCTCATTAAAGCAACAGCAACAGCAACAGCTATGGCACAACTAGTACAACAAGATAGGAGCAATCAACCTCCAGCAGGGTCAGTGTTCTAATAATAAATCAATGGCAAGAGCTGGAGCAATATCGTCTAAGAAAGGCAGAAGACAGGAAGAGCAAAGCAGAAACCCCGAGACAGTCTACTTGAAACTAGAGCTATCAAAGAAAATTGCTTGCTTTAACTTCTGGTCCTATCTCCRCACTGAAGGAAGAGAAGGTTGGAACCCTAACAACAAGCCATTGTCTGTCTTCAATTACAGAAGCTCTYGATACATTCAAACTCACATCAAGCAATTGAGCTGGCCCAAGATTGGGAAGGTATGTAACAAGAAGGTTCCGGTTGGTACTGTTTCTTCTTTGTAATCTTACAGTTGTTCCCCCTCCCCCTCTCGTATCTCCACAGAGCATGGCAACACTTGCTATTGATCTACAGAACCGCGGAATCACACTCGTTAACCCATACAAAGAAGTCCAAGAAAAGCTTGCAGAAATTGCAAAGAAGGAGGAGGAAGAACTCACCAAAGAACAAGAATCATCATTAAAGGAAGAAGAAGTTGACGAAGACCCTATCATGCCCCGGAAGAACACCAAGAAAGCCATTGATACTAGTGATGAAAATGATGATCTTTCAGAACTTGTTGAAAGATCCCTCTACATCAACAATGAACCAGCAGTTCAGTGGGTTAGCGGATCCCTATCCTATCCAGCAATCCTTTCTGGTCAACGGGAAACATTTGATCACGATACTGATAATACAACATCCCTCTGCTTGATGAGGATGCTCATCCACACTGGAGCACAGGAGTCTGACTTCAGGCTCTCCTGGGTCAATAAGAGGACCTTTCRAGTGGCATACAAGTGGCCTAGTAGCTTCATGCAGAGATGTATGATGCAGACTGATTTGGAAGTGACAACAGCAAAGGATGGAAGGACTTTCCAAACCTTTCCAGCCGGACATGTGTTGTATACAAGCATGGGCAAGACAGCAAAGAAGCTCAAGGATGATGATGRCTTCATCTGGTCTGAAGGCTTCTTCAAATTCAAGAATGATATGGATGCTTCTATCTRTGTTGCTGAATTCCTAACTATTAACATCAGTGTAAATGGCACCAATAACGATGGAAACATCCTCCAAATTCAATTCAAGGAAACGTTCAACTTACTCAACAGCTAAAACTTTGTCTCCAACAGATGCTTAAGTATGGTGCTAAGCACATGAATCAAAAGGGAATTTAAAGACAAATATTGCCATGTGGGAGTTCTAGGGGGCTATTGATTATTTAAATATATATGTTTACATACATTAAGGATTGCTAATGTATGAATGGCACAGCTAGAATCTCTCTGCCAATGCTATACAATAGCTCTTAGAGACTTGGTCAACTTGGCATCAAAGGTTCCTAAAGTAAAGGAGCTTATTAATATGAATTGTTGACACACCTTGATGCAGGAGATTGGTGGTGTGGCTCCAAAATTAACATTGCTTTCCATCAAAGTTGAGAGTAAGAACTTACATTAACTCCAACAAGATTTAACCTAATTGCAAGTCCAAGACCTGTAACCCCATTGCTGGGTGGTTGCACAAGATGTAGCAAAATCTTCATTCATCAGCAAACAGTATTGCATTTTCTGTTCTTTATTGTATGCATTGCCATCCTGCTGTCCTTGCACATGACTGTTTGTACCAAGAGGCAAGATTTTCATTCATTGGCAAACAGCATTACATTTTCTGTTCATTTTTGTATGCACGTACTGTGCACACAACTTTTTCTACCAACAGTTTCTCCTGTCTCTTCATGATAGTTGCTTTGTTGCTGCATCACTGAGCCACCCTATCTCAGGCAACAACATAATTTGTACTGTTGGGCTGGACAGCACCACTGAGGGTGTGATTTTTTTTCTGCATAATCACTCTGTTCTCTTTGTGCTCATTAGACACCACGGCAAGTCTCTTGTGCGTTAATACAAAGTTGATGTCAAACACAATGAAAATGACAACACATCAAATGTTTCTCTATCTACCCTTGTAGGAACTGGATCATTCTTCACTGTTACTCCACCTTTGATGTGTTCTGATGTCACCACGCTGCTTAATCAATGGGTAATTGAAATGCACGAAGGCAACAGTAACTGTCCAAAGGTTRTAAATCTTACAGCAATAATAGCAGGAATGAATTGGGACTTCATCTTTACAAATTGTGATRCAGTACAGGATAAGATCAATCTTTTTGTTGTTCCCACTTGAATTATTTGATGGTCGTCCTGAGAAATACAAAGATGTTAGTATTGTGAAAGTAGGGAAACTTGTCAATGAATCCAAGGAGGAGGAACCACGTGACCCTTCAGGGTGTGACAACCATTTGGTTGTCAACTGTAGTGTTGCTGGAAACTAGTTTAATTTGACAGGGTACTCCCAGGACAATGACATTCTTGACCCCAAGTGGTACATGGACCAAATTACTTGGGATCCACCAGCCACCAGCAATACTAACATGGTTTTGCCAAGCCTTCTCTTGTGAGACCTCACTCTGTCCACATTCCCCTGTGTTGTATGCCTCAGGAATGTTTTTTCTGTTGGATTTTCTGCCACTCTAGAAGGCCATCTGCAGACATCCTCACTGACAGATGACTGYTTCCTCTTTGTACCCTTCTTGTTGTCTGGTGAAGGGTTGTTCCTCCAAATGCTGATTGAATCTGAGTGAGTTCTACAAAGAAAGACGAAGGTGCAAGTGACTTGTATGTCTGAACAAGAGATGAAACACCAAATGGAGAACTCCTTGAAGTTTGTGCTGGAAGAAAACGTCCTGCTGATTGTTGTTGAGTTTTTGTACTATGACTGAATCCGTGGTAAGATTTCTTCAAAAAGTTTAGTATCTTCTTGGACAACGTACGTGAGACTGTCAATATCCGAAAGCTTGTTCCATATAAAGGGATTGCCAATGCAAATACCACTCCTGAAGA